AAAATGTATGTGTGTATATATGTGCACACATAGGTATACACATATGTATTAATACATAATGTATAATGTATTATATAATATATATTATATGTAATTAAAATATATAATATGTAATAATTAATATATAATATTAATTATCATATTATAATATAGAATAAAAATATACTATATAATATATAATAATTTTATATTATATTAAATAATATATATAATATATAGTATATATTTTTATTATATATATCATAAAAATATATATTATTTATATATAAATATATATTATATATTATATAATATATATTATTAAAATACATATATAATATATATTTAATATGATATATATTATATATAATTTTATATTATATTAAATAATATATTATATATAATGTATATATTATATATATCATAAAAAGATATATTATTTATATATAAATATATATTATATATTATATAATATATATTATTAAAATACATATACTATATAATATATAATATTTAATATATTATAAAATTATATATAATATATAGTATATATTTTTATTCTATATTATAATATAGAATATATGTGTGTATACACCTGTGTGTGCATATACACACATGTATATTTTGTGCAGCTATACAATGTATGTATATGTTATATATATTATATACAATATAGTATACATAATATGTATAACAAAATATATAGGAAATATAATATATATAATATGTCTTCTTATTTTTTATATATATATATATATATGAGAAATAGGATCTCACTCTGATGCCCAGGTTGGAGTGCAGTAGCACAATCATAGCTCAGTGCAGCCTCAAACTCCTGGACTTAAGTGATCCTTCCACCTCAGCCTCCCAAGTAGCTAGGACTACAGATGCATGCCACCACACCTGGCTATTTTTATTTTTTGTAGAGCCAGGGTCTCGTATGTTGCCCAGTCTGGTCTTGAACTTCTGGCCTCAAGTGATCCTCCTGCCTTGGTCTTCCAGCATGCTAGGATTACTGGTGTGCATCTAGCCACTTTCTTTCTTTATATCATTATTCTATGAATTTTTAAAAACTTTTAAGACTTTCATTGTTAAAAACACAAATATGTACATTAGCCTAGGCCTACACAGGGTCAGGATTCTCAACATCACTGTTTTCCGCCTCCATATCTTGTCCCACTGGAAAATCTTCAGGGACAATAACATGCATGGAGCTGTCATCTCCTATGATAACAATGCCTTCTTCTGGACACCTCCTGAAGGACCTGCCTGAAGCTATTTTGTGGTTAACTTTTAAAAACTATAAGTAGAAAGAAAACATTAAAAAATAATGACAAGAAGTATGGTTTAATAAATATATAAACCAGTTACAGTCATTTACTATCAAGTATTATGACTGTACATAGTTGTATGTGCTTTCCTTTTGTAAAATATTTTTTCATTTTTTTTCTTCTATGTGGGATGGTTGATGTTGAGCCTGTGAGGAGCAAGCTGGCCCCAGATTTCTCCAGGTCCACATTTCTTTGCCTCTAATTCTTACATGTCCAAAGACAAGGACCAATAAACATACCTTTGTTGAAGGGTGTATGTGCTATACTTTTATATGACTGGAAGTGCAGTAGGTTTGTTTACGTCAGCATCACCACGAAAACTTGAATAACATATTGCAATACAGTATTACGATGGTTAAGTCATCACTGGGCAATAGAAAGTTTTTAGCTCCATTATAATCTTATAGAGCCACCGTCATGTATGTGTTCTGTTGACTGAAATGTCATTATGCAACACATGACTCGTGTGTGTGTGTGTGTGTGTGTGTGTGTGTGTGTGTTTTCCTTCTGAGAGAGGGAGGGCAACAGAGACATTGATGAATCTAGTTGAAGGATGTATCTATGTTCAGTAAACTATTCTTTTAACTTTACTATAGCTTTTAATTTTTTGCAAAATTTAAAGAATGAGAAAAATCACAACTGTTTAACAAGTAAAACAAATATAATAGATACAAATAAGTTTGTAAATACACGCAGTGTACAGTAAGCAAACAAGCTCAGGACTCGGCAAAGCCCAGATCTGCTTATCTCTTCTCTAAGTGATATTTTTCTCTCTGAGCTTCCACTTCTGCATCTGTTAAATGGGCTCACATTACCACCTCCTAGCCTGCTGAGGGGTTTCATTAATTGATAGGTATGCCATGCAGGCCTGATGTTCAGCTGGTAGGCATCGTGATAGCTGTGCTGGTTATTTGAAGCTAACATCCACTCTGACTGGTCAGGTTGTCCGGGTTGTGAAATATGTTTGAATATTGTTCTTGATACCTGGTATGTAGTAAGAGTCAAATTCATGGGCACTGTCTTTAGTGCCATCGTCATCATCATTTGCAGCATCATCCCTGAGCACCTTTGGCCTCCTCACCGTAGGGATTTGCTTGGGAATAACTGCTGGATTGGGTGGGGGAGGTGGCCTCAGCACTGGGTGTTTTGGGCACCTCAGGGAACAATATGCTAACATGAAGTAGATAAGGAGATCTCAGCAGCACTTCAGGCTGGGGTAAAGTGTGCCCTTCTGGCCCAGAATAGATAAACTCTATTTGCAAACTAAATGGTGGTACAGGCTGAGAGAGCAAAGGATTCCCTGGGCTGCAGGGAGATGGAGGGATGGAAGCTGAGACCTTGGGCCTATGTCTCTGGGTTAGAAGGAGAAAATGTTGGAGATGGGGGGCCAGCTATGCATTCTGGGATGGGCCCCAGGTATAACCGAGTGGGACACAGAAAGGTGTATACTTTTACTCTTTCTGACTGTTGCCTTGAGATCCTCTAAAATAATATTGATATCTGGCATGTAGTAGTAGTTAAATTCATGTACACTGTCTTTAGTGCCATCACCATCATTATGATCATCGTCAGCATCACCCTGAGTGCCTTTGGTCTCCCTGCCATGCAGACTTGTAAAGAAGGAGGCTTTGGGAATAACTGCTGAATTAGGTGGGCACAGCTATACCAATGCCTACCAGCTGAACATCAACCCTGCATGACAGTCATTCTTCAGCGGAGCCCCAGGTACAACTAGGCTAGATACAGAACAGCATTTAAAAGCTGATGCTGTTTAAACCTCATATTTCTACTCTTTCTGACTGTTGCCTTGAGATCCTTTAAAATACACTTGATAAACGTTTGTTTAAACTACAAATAGATCAACAGGTGGATGTATGAGGGTGGAAGGATTTAATAAATAGAAGCAAGAAAGAGAAAAAAAATCATTGAAGAATGGACAAATCAGTGAATGGATATTTGAATGAATAAATGGCTGAATCAATTAATGAGATAAGGATTTAAGAATTAATTTATGAAAAATAGAAAAAATTGGTTTTTATTGAGGTCTTTCTAAGTCCCAGATACTCTGCTAAGCAATGTACATAGATTATCTCATTTAATCCTTACAAGAACACTATAAAATAGACACCAGTGTCATTCTCATTTTATAAAGGAGAAACTGAGGCAGAGAGAAGTCAAATAATTTACCAAAGATTGCATATCTGGGAGTAATGGTGCCAGCAGCCCAATGAATGCTTTTGTTTCTGTCCTTAACACTGTGGTACCCCATTGTCTCAGTGTGTTTGGCTGTTGTAAGAAAATACCATCAACTGCATAGTTTATCAAGGACAGACATTTGTTTCTCACAGTTATAAAAGCTGGAAAGTCCAAGATGAGGGTGCCAGCATGGTTGTGTTCTTGAGAGGGTCCTCTTCTGGATTGCAGACTGCTCACTTCTTACTGTCAAGAAGCAAGACCACCACCCTCACGTGGTAAAAGGGACAATTTCCCTCAGGCCTACTTTGTAAGGGCACAAATCCCATTCATGGTGACTTCACCCCCATCACCTAATCACTTCCCAAAGGCCTCACCTCTTAACACTACCACATCGCGGATTAGGTTTCAATGTATAAATACTGGGGGGACAGAAATAATCAGACCATAGCAACTGTAAACCAAAAATATGTGGACTTATTTTACTCCTTGGATAGCTGTTGGTCCCAGCACCTCAAGTCAGCTTAGAGATTCATTCATTCATTCCACAGATATAAATTGAGCATCTGCTATATTCCAAGTCCTCTTCTAAGCACCAGAGATACATTGATGAACAAGCAGACATGGCTCCTCCATACATAGTTTGTGCTTCCACGTGGAAGAGTGAAAATGAACAAATACATAGAAGTAAATGCTATGCAGAAAAACAAATCATGCAAGGAATTATAGAAAAGTGGTGTGGTGGTGTGGAAGGAAGCTATTTTAGATATAGTGGTCAGGAAAAATCTTGCAGAGGAGGTACAAAGACCTGAATTATGAGCAGTACATCATGCAAAGATCTGAGGAGAGAGCATTCCAGGCAAAGGGCACTGAAAATGCAAAGGTGCTGATGTAGAAATGAACGTAGAAGGTTTGAAGACTAGGAAGGAGGCTTCCATGGTTGGACTGGTGTAAGCAAAGTGGGGAAGGTGTGATAGGACGTACAGTCAGAGAGAGAGACAGGTGCTAGACTTTATCCTGGATTTCATAGGTCAAGATTTTATAAAATTTTCACTTTGTTTTAAAGGAGATAGAGTGTCTGCTTTACATTATAAAATATCACTCTGTCTGCTGTGGGTTGTTCCATTACTTTTGTCCTCAACCCAGAGAAACAATGGTGTAAGAATAAAGACCACTTGTTTGTCCTACTCTGAATGATTCCCTTCCTCTCCCTTTCTTCTTGGGACCCCATCTGCCATTGGCACTACCACCTGTTGGTACCAGCACATTTACTGGAAGCCATCCTTTTTTGTGCTCTGTCTTCTCCTGGGGACCCTTGGCCTTGCTACTCATCCCAAAGCCCCAGTCACCAAAAAGGTAAAATGGCAGCAATGTATATATCCAACAATAGGGGAGTGGTTATGCAAATCTATTTACTATAATACTTTTGACCGTCAAAAATGATGTTGGGACAATGATGGGATCAAATCTGTCCATACCAATATTTTTTTTTTTTTATATATAAACAGTTTATTTACTCTAAACAGCAACACAGACAAAACGCCATATAAACACAAAGGAAGTGACGCAGAACGGAGAGGCGGCTGACCTGGGATCTGAGGCTTGAAAGCAACACAGCCCAGGCCCTAGAGGAGCGGCGGAGGGAGGGCGCATTTCCAGACAGCCAGCCGGGGCCCGGTGGAGCTCTGCACGGTGAGAAGCATGCTTGCCTCCGAGAGCGAGGGCTCGCTCCTGGGGACTTACCCAAGTATAAAAGTTTATCATTTTACAGCAGTTGAAATACTGACATCAATATTAAAATAAAAGCAAGTTTTACATAACAATCAAAATACAAAAGACTGAAGGAAGAGACCCTGTATGAAAAACGGGCAACTGAGCGAATCGAGACTGCGGACCGCGGCGGCAATGGAAGATGGCGCCCCCCCCACCCCCCCCCAGGCGACTAGTCATTGTACGGAGCAACTTTAGATTTGCAAAAGTGTTGTAAACAAGTTCCTGCCAAACCAATCCCTTCCTTTCTGGAGGCCGCAGGCCGTGGCTTATGAGGGCGCGAACTTCTTGGCTTGTGCTTGGACCCTCTTCTCGTACTCCACTCTGTTTTGGCAGTAAATCGTGTAGGCCTCTGCTTGAGCTGGGTCTTGGATATTTGGTTCATTTAGAAGTTCCTGTATTCCTAATAGGATCTGTTTGATTGTGATGGCTGGCCTCCAGTCCTTGTCCTCCTCTAAGATGGACAGGCACACTGTCCCCGAAGGGTACACATTTGGGTGAAATAACGGTGGTTCAAATTTACATTTCGGTGGTGAAGATGGATAGTCATCTTTGAAAAGCATCCGCAGTTTAAACAAGCCTCCTTCCCACGGAGTCCCTTTCTTTCCTGGAATGGCGCACTCCCAGTTCATGAGGTTCATCGTGCCATCGGGATTTTTTGTTGGGACAGCCACGAAACCAAACGGGTGGTCTTTTCTCCACGCTTTCCTCTCCTGGGCGAGTCTGCTGAGGGCGATCCCTGACATGTTCAGAGTCCCTCGGGCGGCCGCGGCCCTGGCGAGCGTCGCGGACAGGCGGAGGACTGAGCGGGGCGGCGGCGGCGGCGGCGCTTCTCTTTGTCTCGGGACTTCCCTCCATACCAATATTAACCTTGAATGTAAATGAGCTAGACACTCCACTTAAAAGGTACAGAGTGGCCCAGCTGGATAAAGAAGCAAGACCCAACTGTATGCTGACTTCAAGAGCTGTATCTCACATGCAGTGACACCCACAGGCTCAAAGTAAAGGTATGGAGAAAAATCTACCAAGCAAATGAAAAACAAAAAAGAAGTAGGAATTGCTCTTCTAATTTTAGAAAAACAGACCTTAAACCAACAACAATAAAAAAAAGAAGGGCATTACATAATGATAAAAGGTTCAATTTAACCAGAAGACTTAACTATCTCAAATATATATACACCTAACACTAGAGCACCCAGATTCATAAAATAAGTTCTTAGAGATCTATGGAGAGATTTAGATAGCCATGCAGTAATAATGGCAAACTTCAACACCCCACTGACAGTATTAGTCAGACCATCAAGGCAGAAAACTAACAAAGATATTTAGGACTTTTAATGCTTGACCAAATGGACCTAACAGACATTGATAGAATAGAATATACATTCTTCTCATCTGCACATGGTACATACTTGAAAACTGACCACACAGTGGGCCATAAAACAATTCTCAACAAATTTTAAAAAAACAAAGTCATATTAATCACACTCTGGGATCACAGCACAATAAAAATATGAATCAATACTAAGAAGACCTCTCAAAATCATACAACTACATGGAAATGAAACAATCTGCTTCTGAATGCCTTTTGGGTAAACAATGAAATTAAGACAGAAATACAAAAAATTATTTGAAACTAAGGAAAACAAAGATACAACATATTAGACTCTCTGGAACACAGCTAAAGCAGTGTCAAGAGGAAAGTTTATAGCACTACATACGCACATCAAGAAGTTACAAAGGATCCAAGATGGCTGAATAGGAACAGCTCTGGAGTGCAGTTCCCAGCAAAAACAATGCAGAGGTTGAGTGCCCACTGCATTTCCAAACAAATTTTCACTGCTCACAGACCAGGAGATCTCCGGGCTGAAAAGTGCTGTGAGTTTTCAGCACAGCAGTTTCAGCTGGTGCCGATTGGCGCACAGAAACTCACAAATCTGTGCAGCCATTTCAACTGGCGCCTAGAACACCTGGGAGACAGAGCCACCCATTCAACTGAAAGGGAGGGGGCAGAGACAGGAAGCCAGACGATCTGGCTTGGCAGGTACCACCCCCACAAAACAAGCAATCTGAAACACTCTGGATTGCGAGTTTCCCAGGGTGGTCCAGCTCAGTGGGGGGAAGGGCGACCACCACTATTGAGGCAGTTTGCCACCACCAAGGCAGTTCACACAGCAGCTGGGCAGAGCCTGCAGCAGCTCAGCAATGCCTCTGCTGGCAGAGTGTAACTAGGCTACTGTTTTAGTTCTTTGTATATTCTGGTTATTAGCCCTTTTTCAGATAGGTAGATTGCAAAAATTTTTTCCCATTCTGTTGATTGCCGATTCTCTCTAATGATGGTTTCTTTATTCTCCTTGTAGCAATTGTGAATGGGAATTCGCTCTTGATTTGGCTCTCTGTTTGTCTGTTATTGGTGTATAGGAATGCTTGTGGCTTCTACACATTGATTTTGTATCCTGAGACTTTGCTGAAGTTGCTTATCAGTTTAAGGATATTTTGGGCTGAGATGATGGGGTCTTCGAAATATACAATCATGTCATCTGCAAATAGAGACAATTTGAATTCCTCCTTTCCTAATTGAATACCCTTTATTTCTGTTCCTTGCCTGATTGCTCTGGCTAGAACTTCCAATACTATGTTGAATAGGAGTGGTGAGAGAGGGCATCCTTGTCTAGTGCCTGATTTCAAAGGGAATTCTTCCAGCTTTTGCCTGTTCCATATAATATTGGCTGTAGGTTTGTCATATATATCCTTTATCATTTATGATATGTTGCGTTAATACCTAGTTTATTAAGAGTTTTTAGCATGAAGGGCTGTTCAATTTTATTGAAGGCTTTCTCTGCATCTATTGAGATAATCATGTGGTTTTTGTCTTCAGTTCCTTTTATGTGATGGATTACATTTATGAATTTGCATATGTTGAACAAGCCTTGCATCGCTGGGATGAAGCCTACTTGGTCGTGATGGATAAGCTTCTTGATGTGCTGTTGCAATCTGTTTGCCAGTATTTTATTGAAGATTTTTGTGTTGATGTTCATCATGGATATTGGCCTGAAGTTTTCTTTTTTAGTTGAGTCTCTGCCTGGTTTTGGTATCAGGATGATGTTCGTCTCATAAAATGAGTTAGGGAGGATTCCCTCCTTTTGTATTGTTTGATACAGTTTCAGAAGGAATGGAACCAGCTCCTCTTTGTATGTCTGGAGGAATTCGTCTGTGAACCCATCTGGATCTGGACTTTTTTTGGTTGGTAGGCTATTGATTTCTGCCTCTACTGCAGCCCTAGTTACTGGCCTATTCAGGGTTTCAACTTCTTCCTGGTTTAGTCTTGGTAGAGTACAAGTGTCTAGGAATTTATCCATTTCTTCCTGGTTTACTGGTTTATGTGAGTAGAGCTGTTTGTAATCTCTGATGGTAGTTTGCATTTCTGTGGGATCACTAGTGATATCCCCTTTATCGTTTTTTATTGCATCTATTTGATTCGTCTCCCTTTTCTTTTTTATTAATCTGGCTAGCGGTCTATTTTGTTGATCTTTTCAAAAAACCAGCTACTGGATTTATTGATGTTTTGAAGGGTTTTTTTTGTGTCTCTATCTCCTTCAGTTCTGCTCTGATCTTAGTTATTTCTTGTCTTCTGCCAGCTTTTGAGTTTTTTTGATCTTGCTCTTCTAGTTCTTTCAATTTTGACAATAGGGTATCGATTTTAGATCTTTCCTCTCTTCTCATGTGGGCATTTATTGCTATAAATTTCCCTCTCAACACGGCTTTAAATGCGTCCCAGAGATTCTGGTAAGTTGTGTCTTCATTCTGGTTGGTTTTGAATAGCATCTTTATTTCTGCCTTCATTTCATTGTTTATCCAGTCGACACTCAGAAGCAAGTTGTTCAGTTTCCAAGCGGTTATGTGGGTTTGAATGTGTTTCTTGATCCTGAGTTCCAGTCTGATTGCGCTGTGGTCTGATAGACTGTTTGTTATGATTTCTGTTCTTTTGCATTTGCTGAGGAGTGATTTGTTTCCAATGATGTGGTCAATTTTAGAGTAAGTGCAATGTGGTGCTGAGAAAAATGTACATTCTGTGGATTTGGGGTGGAGCGTTCTCTATATGTCTATTAGGTCCGCTTGGTCCAGCTCTGCACTCAAGTCCTGGATATTCTTGTTAATTTTCTGTCTTGTTGATCTGTCTAATATTGACAGTGGAGTATTGAAGTCTCCCACTATTGTATGGGAGTCTAAATCTCATTTTAGGTCATTAAGAACTTGCTTTATATATCTGGGTGCTCCTGTGTTGGGGCATATATATTTAGGATGGTTAGCTCTTCCTGTTGGATTGATCCTTTTACCATTATGTAGTGTCCTTCTTTGTCTCTTTTGATCTATCTTGGTTTGAAGTCCATTTTATCAGAGACTAGGATTGTAACCCCTGCTCTTTTTGTTCTCCATTTGCTTGGTAAATCTTCGTCCATCCCTTTATTTTGAGTCTATGTGTGTCTTTGTATGTGAGATGGGTTTCCTGAATACAGCACACCTATGGGTTCTGACTTTTTATCCAATTTGCCAGTCTGTGCCTTTTGATTGGGGCATTTAGGCCATTTACATTCAATGTTAATATTGTTATGTGTGAATTTGATCCTGCCATTTTGTTACTGGCTAGTTTTCTTTCCCACTAGTTGACTCATTTTCTTCATTGCATTTTTGGTCTTTGCCAACTGGTTTGCTTTTGCAGTGACTGGTACTTGTTCCTTTCCACGCTTAGTGTTTCTTTCAGGAGCTCTTGGAGGGTAGGTCTGGTGGTGACAAAATCTCTCAATAATTACTTGTCTGTAAAGGATTTTATTTCTCCTTCACTTATAGAGCTTAGTTTGACTGGATATGAGATTCTGGGTTGAAAGTTCTTTTCTTTAAGGATGTTGAATATTGGCCCCCAGTCTCTTCTGGCTTGTAGGGTTTCTGCCAAGAGATCCACTGTGAGTCTGATTGGCTTCCCTCTGTGGGTGACCTGACCTTTCTCTCTGGCTGCCCTTAGCATTTTTTCCTTCATTTCAACCCTGGTGAAATTGCCTATTATGTGCCTTGGGGTTGCTCTTCTTGAGGAATATCTTTGTGGAGTTCTCTGTATTTCTTGAATTTGAAATTTGGACTGCCTTGCTGGCTTGGGAAGTTCTCCTGGATAATACCCTGGAGCATGTTTTCCAGCTTGGATTCATTCTCCCCGTCGTATTCAGGTACACCGATCAAGCGTAGATTAGGTCTTTTCACATAATCCCATATTTCTTGGAGGCTTTGTTCATTTCTTTTCACTCTTTTTTCTCATGTACTGCCTTCTCTTTTTATTTCTTTGAGTTGATCTTCAATCTCTGATATCCTTTCTTCTGCTTGATCAATTTGGCTATTAAAACCTGTGTTTGCTTCATGTAGTTCTCGTGCTGTGTTTTTCAACTCCATCAAGTCGTTTATGTTCGTCTCTAAGCTGGTTATTGTAGTTAGCATTTCGTCTAACCTTTTTTTAAAGATTTTTGGTTTCTTTGCATTGAGTTAGAACGTGTTCCTTTAGCTCAGAAAAGTTTGTTATTATCTACCTTCCGAAGCCTGTTTCTGTCAATTCGTTGCATTCCTTGGTCGAGTTGTGATCCTGTGTTACTGAGGAGTTGTGATCCCTTGAAGAAGAGGTGTTCTGGTCTTCAATGGTTTCATCTTTTTTGTGCTGTTTTTTTCCCCATCTTTGTGGATTTACCTGGCTGTGGTGTCAGGGAGCTCCTTGGTGAGGTTGCTTGTCTGCCTGTGGAGGCACTGCTGCGTTTCTAGGGACTCCTTCAGGTTCCTAGGGAAGCTCCCTGTGTCTTTTTTGTTTATACT